AGAAAGTGGGGTTGAAAGAACAAAGAGAGAGAAAGGACAAAAGTAAAGTGACTCAAGAATTAGATAAAAAGAAAAGTAAAGAAAAATAAAAATACACAAGAAATACAAGCAAGAAAAGAAGAGAGTCACTTACACAAATTAAGAAAGAAGAGAAAATAGCAAGGTGAAAGAATATGAGAAACTCGGCAAGATGAAACGAGAGACACTGGAAGGTTTAGCCGATATGTCAAGGAGGGCAAAAAGTCACTAAAGTATACTAAAATATACCTTACCTGACCTCGAGCCTATGTTACTAGCTAAAAAAGTCCTATCGTGATCCTAAGGGTTGTATAGCAAACTTAAGGCAGTGAAAATAAGGGCAAGCTTATGGCAAAAGGTATGAATGAGTGTGACTTTGTTCTGAGAGTGAGTTTTGAAAAGTAATCCTTATACTCAAACTGAAATCATTGTGTGAAAAAAGAGGATTTTGTTTTAAAGTGAGGACACTAGTTACAATACCGGAATTGTTAGCACCTCGGTGAGAAATTAAAGAGGATAGGTGTTAGTGCGTGGTGAGTCTGTGTCATGTTCTGATCCCACAAAATTCAAGACTAATAGTGATAGCATGCATAGATGTGATGAGATTAATCGGGATTGATAGCCAAATGATTGCAAAGGATAAAACATGGATACTATTGTACAAAGATTGTGTAGTGAGTCATAGTGCGTCGCTTGAGGACAAACAACGAATTTAAGTTGAGGGTGTTGATATACCGTGGTTTCACGGTATTATTAATACTTTTTCCTTAAGTTTAGTATGTCCTAATGCCTTTTTGTGCTAATTTTTATATAAGTTTCTCTTTGTTTTGCAGGAAATTTGTCCAAAGCTAAAGCGGAGATTTTAAGCGAAGAACTGCAGAAGAGACCACCTACGGAGCTTATGATGGTCCGTCATGCTTGTGACAGTCTGTAGGTGGAAGCGTAGTGCAGCTGCTGAAGGAAGATGGGGAAGTCTTACCAAGTGTGGGATTACGAAGCTTGTGATGGTCCGTCGTGTCTCTGACGGTCCGTCCTGCAGGTTCGTCGTGAAGTTCAGAGAAGTGATCCTAGTACCCAGATTCCAAGAGTTGAAGTGATTTGGAACGAAGACCCTCGACGGACCGTTGTGGCTATGACGGTCCGTCATACTTGCCGTCGAGGGGAATGAAGATAGCAGCAGAAGAAATTGCACAAGTATGGGACGACGGACTCCTCAATCTCAACCCAAATTCAAGAACGAAAGAAATTCAAGAACATTAAAACCTCCACTCTTTTAGGACGAACTCATGCAGAAATAAACATATTTTTAATTTGGGTAAATGGACCCAACGCTATGAAAGTCTTACATAATTCGTATGATCAAATCCTTGATGAAATCAACGATCAACTCCTCATGAGGATGACGAATTTTTACTTCCCTCTTCTCTTCTCTAAAATATATAACATGAATATTCAATTGTGAAAACTAAAAAAATTCAGTTTTGACACTAATGAATTCACTAAAAATGAAAAAAAAATTAACTGGATAATGAAAATACCATAATACCCTTCCTAAATCTTATTGTACTTTCCTTGTCGAAACAATTTCAAATGGGCATAAATCCTTCATATGAACTTGAAATTGACAAAAATTAGTGGTGTTTGAAATATAATTCAATGGTCTTTCCTATGGTATATTGTAGAACACCTAGCTCATCCTGAGCTAGAAATTATGATAATTTGAAGTTGACCCAAAAACTCCAACTTAACATAACTTAAACAAATTTCTAGTTTTTTTCACTCTTTCCAATAAAAGACTCTTTGTAATTCTATCTCTTTCAATGCATCTTAAAATCATAAGGAGTTCTTAATAAAAAATTAGTAGCTTAGTCATTTTGTGTGATATTAGCTTCAACCGACAGTAGACCACACAGTTATGAAATGGAATCCGAATAACTCCCACATCAAAAAGGTAAAGTCAACTTGAAAAGATAGAACCTCATATCAAAAAATTTGCTATATGTGGATTTACTGACTAGGCAATTTAAGGCCTTCCTACGCGGGCAGATAGTTTAGAACTAGAGTTTTCTTATAGATAGTACCCTATGTAAGCCTCCATCTCAAAGTTTCTCGATGCTACAGAGTAATTATTTTCAATAAGTTACAATAATGGGGAAGGTTATAGTATAATTACTAATACAAGTTAAAACATTATAAATTAGCTCATTAGTTCTTGAATAAAGTTTATGTTAGGAAAACTTCCATAAAGCCACGCTCCCTTAGTATGTGAGAAAATATTCCAATATTCATTGATGCGAAGCAAAGTTCACTTTTATTAAAAGCCTTTATTAACATTACTTTATAGAAACATAGGCTTTAGAAAATTGACTACTCATATTCTTAGCTCATAGGTCATAGATGATAGTTCATCAACCTAAATCATGTGAGAAACCCTTTCACATGGACATAACATATTCAAGCACCTACTTTAGTTTAGGGTACTCTTGAAAACACCTTTCAAGTTCCTCTGTATTGACTACATCATCATTCTTGTGTGTGTATAAATATATATGTGAGAAGCCCTTTCACATAACACATTAAGACCACACATGTTAATACATTAACATAATCATGAATTCATATTCATCTACATAGAAAACCAAACCTACGAACTATCCTATTAAGGCACAAATGTGCAATACATAGACAAGGTCACATACCCTTTCCCATACTAGTGCACCTATCAAGTCATCTTTGTTAAGGGAATACATAACATGATTCATGAACATATACCTTACAAGCGTAGTAGTAATGTAAGTGCATATGAGAGTACCTTTCATTAGACACCATGAACCTATATTACTTGTAAGCATGCATGAAGTGTGAGTGTGTACATTGGGAAACATGATAACATAATGGCTATTAACAACACGTTGAGGAAGACACCCTCTTAGGACCATAATTCACCTTAGAGTATAGATCACACAACACAATTGAGCATTGGAAACAAGCTAACTTCATATTACATTTAAGACTCTTAACCTTACCTATTCACACATTCACATAGGGGTACATAGGTAGGGATCATCAACCATAAAAAATCATCAATGGAAGCATCTAAACATATCCCTAACATAGTTACGTACACATGCTTATACAATAGTCATACAACCTAAATCACAACTAGAATATGACACTAGGCTTAAGGCTTCACATTGGGTGATCATGACCAACACACATTCCTAATATAATTGACTTCAATGCCATGATCACATACTATATATATTGAAAATGAAGTAAACACCGTCATTATAGGTTCACCATACAACACAATGCCATACAAGGCTTCATCAACCACCAATTTTATAGGAAAGTAGAGGGGAACAATCGGTCTTACCATTTCCTCAACCCTTGATCAATACATTTTTTTTCATCAACAATTAATGTATAGGAAATATCTAGATGTACTTTAACATAAATGAAATCATCTATAAGTCACTACAAGATCATGCTACAAACTAACACACTACATCACCTATTCAATAAAGAGTAAAGAGACATAGATCACTTACTAATATCCCTTACATTGATCATCATGATCAAAATTAATAATTCACCAATAATTCCATTCTAGGGAAATAACTAAAGACAAAATAACCAAGTCTAAATCATGCTTCATCTACCTAAGAATTTAGATCACATCATGTACATTAAATATCAATATATAGTCTAAAACAATGTAAATCAATCCTTACCAAAACTTTTTTACTTTGATCATCAAGGATCATACCAACAATTCATCCAAAATATGAATATAAGGCAGTAGATACAATTATCTTTACATAAACAAATCCTACATTCATGCTCTACAGAATCAAGATTAAAGTGAATGCCAGACATTAACAATCATTACGAAGTAGAGATCAAGTTTTTACGTATCATCCAACATTAGACAAATAACACATAATTAAACATCACATAACATCATAGGCATTAGATGTAATCAACTAAACATAATAGAATCATAATTCAATCAACATAAAGTGAAGATCAAAAAGCCCACATGTATGCTAAATCGAGAGTTTGAAGGAATCATGGGTTCAGCATGTAATTCAATTTAAATTTTCATTAAAATAAACCTATTAACATCAGTTCATCATGAGGAATCCTTTAAAAATGTTTTGAGAAAGAACCCATGGCTAGATTTGAAAATAAGTGGTTTGATCGTATTTTCTCTTTGAAAACTTTGAGAAGAACTCTAAAGATGAAAGGTTAACTAGTTATGAAGGATTACCATACATCATTATAGAATAAAATCACTTAAACTTGATGAAGAACACATGGAAATCCAAGCTCCATTTCACAAATGGAGTTTAGACCCTAGACGAGATCGGTATAGTTGACCTCTTCGAGGTCGCAGACCAGCCTACATACGTCATTGTTTCTTCTTCTAGCTTAATTTTAGCGGAAAATTTGAACTTTTTGTTTTCTTATTTCATGCTAAACATTTTAAACTTAACATCATAGGCGTTCACAATTCAATCATCTAATAAAAAGATAATCAAATGAAAAAATTAGTTCATAATTTTACTAAACATATTTTTGCCAAAACGACACTAATACAAATTCAGAACAAAAGTTGAAAGAATCACTAATGGAACATGCTACACTAGCTATAGCCTACATCAAAGATAAATAATAACGGTAGACTTCCTCGAAAGCATAAGGGCCTACCAAGTCCGGATAGCTGCAAAGTCAACCTGTAAGTTCTCGCATCCCCCTCTGCCTGCACCTAAAAATATAGAGTTTTATGGGTTAGAATAAAAATCTTTCCTAACAACATGATTTATGGAAAGTCAAGTCGCTAGAGTTGCCAAATTTGGATTAGGAAAGTTAGTGTTCCTACAAAATTTTGATTAGGAAAGTTAGTTGACTTGCAAAATTGGATTAGAAAAGTCATGTCATGCGAGTATCATGCATCATCGTACTATTGCACAAAGAACATAACGTCTTACACATAGCTCCTAACAGATTGCATATAGCACATAACATAATGCGTATAACACATAACATCTTTCATATAATTCATTCATACGCCATGAGACTTTGGAATCATGGACTTGACATCAAGACTTCCCAAAAATGAGGGCTCAACATATGGGATCTCAACTAGGGAGCCTTTTTTAGCAAACAAAGAGTCTTCTTCATTTATTCATACGTACTTCACTTCATAAATTCATAAGCTAGTGTAGACACAAGCTATACCTAAGATGTAGTTTAAGACTTTCAGCGAGTTCACTATGCAATGATCAAGAATGGCCTAGTGTTATTACTTATGTCTAGATTACCCCTTGATTATCCTATCCTAACTCATTTAGTATCATTCATTTCTTTATGTGCATCATTTGAGGCTTACCTCATTCACTCTTTGGGAACATTAACTTTAACCGACATAGATCATGTGAGCATCATGAAATCCAGTGCCACCCCCACATCGAAAAAAGGTGAAATCATGGGACAAAGTGACCCAAAATATGATAGTGTACATGGGAATAGAACCCCGCCAAATACCTATATTGGTAGTATAGGTTCTAAGACTAGGAGATATAAGAATACCCATACACGGCATGCCGGATAGTCTCATCTAATGAGAGTTACGTAAACCTCCACCCTTCTCGAAAGAGAGAATCACCACTCATAGTTAGTCTATCAGTGCTCAATATAAAGTTCCATTACATTCAACTCATACGTCATGGAAGTTGGCTTCTAGTATGATGACATCATAGCTCAATAGATGATTTCTCATCTCATTATTAGTATTGAGTGTGTTAATCTCAATACTTTCAGTAGAGTACGTTTTGGTAAAATTTACTTAGGCGCATTTGAG